CCAGCGTCTTAATTCTTAGTGTCTTAACTGAATGACCCAGATCTGCACTTCGACGAGTTTTCCCCCCAGAGACCAAGGAGGAGACAGGAGGAATGCCTTTGGCAGCAGAAGAGAAAGATTGGAAGGCTTATAGCAGTGTTGTCCAAACTTGGCCACTTTAAGATTAGTGGAATTTAACTTCCAGAATTCCCCATGCTGGCTGGGGAATTCTGGGAGTTGAAGGCCACTCATCTTAAAGTGGCCAAGTTTGGACAACAGTGGCTTATAGTGTGCCTGGCCACCTCCAATGGACTTTCAGGAAACATCTTTTCTATGGGGAATGACCAACTTCACAAATGGGTGGAACTGGAGGGACCATAAGACAATGATGTCTGGCTCCCCTGCTCAGTTCAAGAAATCCAAACTGTAAGCATTCCAAGGGATGGCCATATAGCCTCTGTTTAAAGACTTCCAGAAAGAGAAAGCCCATGGGGTGGACAACTCATGGTCCATATATGGTACCTGAACTCCCATTTTTGTACTGAAATTTCCTGAGATTCTACCACTAACATTTGGTGGTTGCTGAATTATACAGTAGTGGCAGAATTATACAGTAGTGGCAGAATTTCTTACTAATGTTTTGGTGGGAATTAAAAGAAAATAAATATATGAAGCCTCCAAATGGTTACACAAGCACCCACTTTCACACCATGCAGGGAAAAAAAAAAAGGCTGAACATTTGTTACCTCTCTTTGGGGGTATCACCATAGCCCTTGTTTCTCCAGAGCAAATTGGTTCCAAACAGCATAATTCATTATAGATGGGGTCATAGAGAACAAGTTCTTGAAGGTAAAAGGAAATAAAATGGATAGCACGTAGCTTACGGAACTCCCTTATATAAGATATGGTCACAATCATCAGCTTTGTTTAAGCTGTAAAAGAGGACAACTTTTGTAGATGTTCTTGGTTATAGCATTGAGCTTGGCCATAATAGTGAGCTGTGTGTCCTGGAAGAATGGTCCATGTTCTGGTCCTTGGGTCATCTCCCCCAGTTCCACAAGTAGGACCCTAATTCCAGCAACTAACGTTGCTACTGCCAAGGGCATTCATGGAAGGGGAGTCAAAAAACGTTGAGGTGGTGGCTGCCCCGCTTTTTCACACAAGCCAGTTTGGGGTAGTGATATAAGTTCTAGTCTTCCCTCGGGCATGAGAGCCAGCTGAGTGGCTTTCATCAGTCACTGTCTCTCAACCTAGCCCACCCCACATTGTTCTTGTGGGGAAAATAGGAGGAAGCATTATGTATACTACTTATACAGAACTATACAATAATACTGTTCGGGCTTACATACAAATTCGACTTAAGGACAGACCTTGGGAACGGAACTCGTTCTTAAACTGGGGACTACTTGTACCACCTTGAGTTGCACAAAATAAAAGTGGGATATAAATCTAATAAATGATATTAATGTATCTCACACACGCTGCACATAAAAAGGAGCAGTACTTCAATTGCACAATCATGGCCACCATCTTGACTTTTTGATACTCCCTTCCCCTCGTGAGCTGTTTTGGGGGGTTGCTTGCAGGAGATTTAAGCATAGAGAGCCAGTCTGGTGCAGTGGTTAAGGTGCTGGCCTAGAAATCAGGAGACTGCGAGTCATTCTCTCTCAGCCCAACCCGCCTCACAGGGTTGTTGGGGGGGAAATGAGAGGCAGGAGTATTAGGTATGTTCGCCACCATGAGTTATACATAAAAAAGGTGGGATAAAATAGTAATAGTAATAGTAATAATAAGTGCCTTGAGTGCATCCCAAAACCTCTGGAGCACCACTTGAACACCATCTTGGCATTGACAAAATCACCACCAGCCAATTGCAAAAGTCGGCTTTACTTGGAACAGCTTACATCCCGCGACGAAACCTTTAACACCATCAAACAACAACATCTGCCTATCCCAGGTCCTTGGGAAGGGCTCGATAGGTGGATAAAAATGCCAAATCCAGTCTAAACATGCGGCTGACTGTGCCACCAGCAATAATAATAGGAATGGAAGTGGTTTGCTTCTCACTTCTAATGTTCCCATTCCCACCCTTAATGTGGGGGGGAGGGGGGGAGAGAAAAAGAAAAAAAAATCATGCTGCCCCATATTTGTTATTTTACCATCTAAAATCAGCAGTGGGATCTCAGAGCACCAGACAGCTACACCCTTACTTTAGCTCAGTTTTCAGTGCTACTCCTGTAATATTTATCTTAGGAGAAAAATATAATTTTTTATTGTTGTATATATACTTTTCTGGGGCTATGGGCAGCTCATATTGTATTGTCAACATTAGTATTATGTTAATATTAGCAATATTATAACACAACATTGTCACTGGCCTTTTGCTAGTTCTGTCAGCTTTCAAACATGGAATGGGTGTGCATTAATACTGCTGAATCTTTTCTTCTGACAGCAAATATCTTGGGATGAGTGAAACCTTATAGTAGCTTTTTAAAGCAAGCCTTAAATTTTTGCTGTATGGAAAACCACTAACCTGACTTCCTTGCTCTTTGCTGATGATCCCCTCTTTTCTCACCTGCATCACGCAGGAAGATGCTTATAAAATTTCCAAGCTGACGCTCAGCTACTGTAATTGTCCTCAATGGCAGCCATCCAAAAAACATATCTGAATCAAACCTATCAGGTTCAGCAACAGGGTGGAAAAGTAGGTTTTACTGGAAAGACAAACTTTAGCCCATCAGCATTTTCACTGTGGCCTTGCGGAACACCTGAAAATATTGCAGGACCAATTGTTGGTGCTTGGATTACAATTTAAAAAAAATATTTAATATTGTATATATGAAGCTACTTTTGAAAGTGTCTTAGAAACTAAGCATATGATCCAGAAACATCAGCAACTTGGCCAAGAAACCTGCACTGTAGAGCCTATAGTGTTGCTTCTTAACTAGGACCTAGACCAGCATGGGGAAACTTGAGGCTCACCAGATGTTGCTAAACTACGACACCCAGCAGCCAGTCTTGCATATACATCCCCCCAAATCAACCTCTACCTGGGAATTGCTGACCATTGTGTTAACTAATCTTCTCTCCTGAGATCAAGATGAGGCCCTAGAGGTGTTCTGTTGAAGTGGGGTCTTTAGGGTTTTTTCCTACATTTTTCTGCTCTGGCTTGGAGTAAAACAGGAAAAAAAAAAGTGGGCCAGGAAGTGACAGCCTCCTTTATAGAGCTGGGAAGACTAAAAGTGGCACTAAACATAATTGTATGCTGCTGGACAGTATCCAGAGGTGACTAGTTTGATGGCTGGACCATTGTCGTCATATTACAGAGCCAAAGTTGTCTTTCTGAAATCCTGTCTATGAGGTCAACTATCTAGCCTGCTTTCTACAGCATGAAGATGTCCCACTTACCATTTACTGAGGACATGTCCTCCCAATGGGGCTTCTATCTTGGAGGCAGGCATCTACTGAGGCAGGCTGCAGCCAGGCCAAGATCTTCTGGCATAAAAGCAGTGTTTTCCCTAGAAAATGGAAGATGACCTTCCATCTCAACCATCTGTGAAGCATAGAGGCAGTGGTTTGGAAGTGGTGACCTGCTTGGCTATCGTTGGACTGCCTGCTTCCATTTGGCCTCCAAGCGCAGCACCTGTTTTGCAGTTTGGGCTGTGAGAGACCCCAGAAAGACTCAGTAGTAGTACCTTTCTGTTATAAGTGGGTTGGTCAACCATAGAGTGTGATGCCTTGACATCAATTAAAATTATTGAAGTTGGACTTGAGTCTTGTGCTTCTGTAGCAATGTAGCAATGGCCACTATTCGGGGGAGTCCCTGGCTCTTCAGAGATTTTTTTAAAACCTTATTTCATTGTACAGTAGAATATGACCTGGTATAGATACAGCTTCAAAATACAGCCACATTATTTCCTTGTATCCTTTTGAATGATCAGAGCAGTACATGTACTGTGATTTGACACAAGAATCAGCAAAGTGATATCTCAAAGGCCAGCTCTTCAACAACATTTGGCATCTAGCACAGTGTTTCTCAACCATGGCAACTTTAAGATGTGTGGACTTCAACTCCTAGAATTCCCCCAGCCAGCTGGGAGTTGAAGTCCACACATCTTAAAGTTGCCAAGGTTGAGAAACACTGATCTAGCACTTGCAAGTTGGTTGCACAAATCCACAACTACTAGATGAAATCAAAGCGAGGCAAAGTCTTGGTCGCCACCTAGAGGCCAATTACTGTAAGTTGACTGGTCAACGGATCAACAATAATTTTGGAAAAATTATGGGGCTGTACCTGAGAATGCTCCATAGCTGATCATTTCTCTCTCACACACCAAAGCCCCTTTCTTGAACTCCAGCTTCAAGAGCACCTATGCTGGAACAACAGCTGGCTGCACGAAGGACCGCTATGGTGCAGTTAAGAGGCAAACCCATTGCTGCCACCTAGTGGTTGATAGGTTGATAGGTTGATAGGTTGACACCTCTTTGGAAAAAAGAGAAAAAACTTGGACAGTGTCTGCTTACGAGCATCATTCCAGCATACATTCCATACATTGATTGGTGACGGCTTCTGCAATGAATGAAAAATTATCCTCTTTAGAGTCTGGTAGGGAGAAGTTGTACAGACCCTAGCACAGCCTGGCCCCATTCTGCATGGATGCTAAAGGCATGCTGTGGGAGCTGCACTATTGATGCTGACATGATTTCCCCCTGGTTCTTGGGGCAAGAGAAAGGAATGGCAAAGCAGTGGTGTGGACGAGCCTTATGCAAGGACAGTGCTGAGCAACCTAAATACCTGAAGGATACCATATCTTTTGCAAGGTTCCTTTCACTTTCACTCAAATATATTGGCTGCTGTATCCTATATGAATGACACAGCTAACCGCTTTGCAGAACTTCAACATTCTTTTCATCTGTTTCTGTTGTTGAAATAACTGAATGCTATGACCTTGAAGCCCAGACCATAACCATCTGGACACCCTTTACTTCTATTTTCACACTTTTGGGATAGATTGCAAGAAATCATTGTCAATTACATGGTTGTCCCTACTCCGCCTCCTGTTCCCAATTACATCATTGATTTCCAACCAGTTTCCTGTCATTGACACGCTGGAAATGACAATTCCCAGGGAACATGGCATCAGAAGCACCCTATCAACATTATATTTTTAACTGCCACCTACTAGCTTTCATATCATGTGCATGTAGTTATAATCTAGTTTTATTTCTCAGCAAACCATTTTTAATGCAGCACTTATTATTTTATGGTTTTTAATTTTAATATTGTGTTTTACTATAGCGAGCCACTCAGAGAACAGTGCTGTTGGGCAGTCTAAATAATTTCAGGTTGGGGGAAACAGGTGAGTGTTCCCTGAATACTCACAGATAAAACTTGTAGTGACCCAGACTATTCTAAATAATAGTGCTCATTATGAATTTTCATACCTGTGACTATACCAACAATATTTGAAATGCAAACAAGGCAGCTCTTGCCGATCAGCCAGCAAGTCTGTCAGTCATGCATTCAGTGGTGACCAGTTTGCTCTCTCTAGAAAGTCTAGAAACAGGAGCTAAAGAAAACAGACCTCATTTTTCACCAGACACACCTCTTAAATAGATGGATGTTCAATCTTATTAGGGCTAATGACAGCTCCTGTCAGAAAACAGCTGTGTCTGGGAATGCTGTCTAGGAATTCAGAGAGCTCCAAGTACCAACATCTCTGGAGTTTCCAGTCGGGGAATTCCAATCTAATCTATCAGCAGTGGGGAAGCAGCAAATATTATTTGGATCATGAAGGGTAGAGGTTGTGATTGGGAAGGAGATGCTAAAACATTTCTATCCCTCACCATCAGCTGTTGGACGTATAGTTTCTGGCTTGCATTGTCAACCAGAACGCACCCATCCCCTGAAGTGTTCTTCCTGCAAGTGAAAGTTGGTGACTTGGCCATCACTGTTTATTTTTCTGCAAGTTTGGCTACAACCACTTACTGAGAACATAGTAGATAGGAGAATCAAATCTCCTCTAGCCTGATGTCCTATCCCGATGTCCTGAATAACACTCTAACATAGTATAGATGAGTTCTAAAACACCAATGACTGAGCATAGTATCTGTCCCATGGAGAATTGAAAGCATTCTGACGGCTACCTGATCTTTTTTTAGAATGGCAAAGCCCACCTTTTCACAAAACAGAACCACAGAGAGAAACAGTTCGCTAACATATCTCATTATCCTTTCCTCTCCACAATCTGAATTTAAATGGGTACACAGCACAACATACAGCAATGGCTAAACCTGGCAAGGCCCAGCAAGATTAAATGAAATGTAACGCATCTGACCGAGGGTTTTGCTCCTGTGTTCCATACAAAGCACACAACTGGAGGATCTACACCTCAGCTCTGAATTTCTCCAAACTATTTTCAGGGCTGTATTTACTGTCTTAAGGAAACTCAACATATTTCAACAGTACCTCAAATTCCTAGTCTGCTGCACCAGAACAGTCAGACCTTGTTGGATTAGTGCAATGGCTTTCACATTTTTGGATTTGGGTTTACACATCACACTAATCCATAACTTCCTCATAATATGGTTAATTCGAGAAGCCATGTTTGGTTTCATTCAGCAAGATGAGCCATAAAACGAGGTTCACAAACTCTTTGGCTGGGTTCATTGTTAACATTAAACCAGAACCGATCACATCTCCTTATGGCTTAGTGCAATGTATGAATTTTGCTTCATGAAAAATCCCTCCCCAGATGGCCACCCCAGAAGCCTCTATACAACACTCCACATGACACATCAAGCGCATAGTTGAAGCACTCATCCAGAAAACATATCCCTTACACCACAACAAACTTCATCAATAGTTGGCTGTTCAGTTTTGGTGCCAGCCACCATTTGCTGATTTTCCATTCTTCTTTGCAAACACACACACACACAAAGCCCACAAAAGTCCATATTTGGAGTTGATGTACATGGGAATGAGAAACCTAAGCCTTCTCCAGTGCCTTTGCTTTCAAATGTAGCCACAAGGGATGAAAAATGGAAGTAGAGCAGCGCTACATGAATGGTTCCATTTTGCCTCATTTTTCAGGATTGGGCTGCTCAATCATGAGACAACCTAAATTAAACCTATGGCTATTTATTGTAATTATTCTTACTAATCACAAAGTTTTGAGATTTGGACATGGCAAGTAAAACCTTGATAGAGCTCAGTGTCTTGCAAATGTGGTCACAAAGTTTCTAAAGGACCGGTTTCTAGATTGCATGGAACATTTACACAGATGGAGACTTCCCACTCCAGATGGTTAGACACTGTATATTGAAACTGATGAGAATATAGAGGAGTAAGTAGAATAAGCGCCCTTGTCTCCACATTTGCTCCTTATGTGTGGCAGTTTCATTTTTAGAATGATGCACAGGAATCTGGCACCTGCAAAACCACACGCATAGTCTTCTATTACGCTACGTTCCAGTATCAGCATGGAAAGGGGAACTGATAAACCACATATGTAGGTGGACATGAAAAGGATGTTTCAATGGGTTTGATACAGAAACCAGAGAGTCAGGGAGTAAGATAGAAGTTTTATTGTTACAAAAGTGAAAGGCATAAATGGATTTCAAATCCCAGAAAAATAAGGTTAAAGGGGTCAAAAAAGTTTGGTTCTGTTAGGGAATTAGTTTGGGATTGCCCTACATAAAGGTGTTGGATTTTCAACTCTATTTCCCAAGCAGCATGGCCAATGGAAAGGCTGGAATAAGCCTTCCCATAATCTCCTGTTCTGTTTCACATCTTGTCCGTCCTAGAAATTATCTCATTAGGTGAAGCAAGAAAAGAATTATTTCAGGAACTGTTACATAATACTACAAAATACTGCTGTCAATAGATTTGGAGGGAAGTGGAAGAGAAGGTAGAGAAAGATCTAAACCACTCCTAAAAACCAAGTTTAGTTACCAGTATAAACACTAAATTAACTACACCCAGAGTATACATACCCCCTTTTCATCTGTATAGATTTTTTTTAAAAAGTTCTCAATCCAGACTCTGCACAATCTTGCCCTGCTGGCTGTAGCAGCTCAATTTCAGCAGGGTGGGGCTATATAACGGATGTGATCCAGCCCAAACTATCCTCTCATGATAGTTTAGAACAGCCAGGCCCAAAAGTTGAAGTAGCAGAGCTGTGAATCATACTGTGCTTAATAAGGAAGGAAACACACGGCACGCACACCCACACATACATTTTGGATCTAGACTTTGCAGAATATAAATGAGGCAAGTTGACTTATTTTACATGAGTTTATCAAGTTGCATAATTCTCATTTTGTAGAGATGGTGAGGAATAAATAGTAATAGAGTGCTAAATCTTCACCTTGAGTCATTGGAAATCTGGGTTCATCTCCCTTCTTGCTTCTGAGATTTCAGCAGAAACTGCATAGACACTTGCAAGTTTATCTTCAGGATAATAATGTTTAGAATTTGCACATTCCCAGGAAGTTCTATATCCATTATCTGTATTTTTTTCTATGTTTCTATAGAATCATGCAAACCACACATGTACATACACACAAACACACGCGTGCGCACACACACACACACACACACACACAGAGTCCTGGATACTGGCTCACAATTCTAGTGCATTCCATTGTATTTGAAAAGTTGCTAACTTTGACCAAATGTATAAAGTCAGAACATATTTAAAAACACTGGTGCAAGCATAGTGTGCTTTGGAAACACTGATTCTAGACATAGAACTGGACTGGGATTGGTGTCTTGAATCAGTACCACATATCAACCTAGAGAACTCTTATAAATCTCCCAAGAATTCTGAAGCCTTGGGACATCACTGAAATGCAGGAGTCAAAAGAAATTCCCCTAATTGCACTCACAGCAGATGATTCGTATGGCTTTAAGCTTCAAACCCCGCAGGCAGCAGGAGCACCTCCACTCCAGCCTTGAGGGCTTGGGATAGCTTTTTCCTTGTGCACGGCAGCATCTCCCTATTTTTGCTGGGACAAAGGAAGAGATGCAGCAATATAAAAATTAGATAGCCCTGGAGGGTTGAGAGGCACAGGTGGTGGCAACGGCTGAATTTTCAGATATTTGACAGGGGTCTCTTGGGTTCGCCTTGAGTTTTGCCACGAGGCGCAGAGGGTCCTCAAAAGATCTTTTGTGCCCTGGACATACTGGATGTTCCCAAGAAGTGGAGGGATGGGGAGAGGGAAAAGGAAGAAGAAAAGAGAGGATTAGTAAATGAAAACAGCAGAGAAAGAAGGACCATCACACGCCTAGCATTTGAAGGCAAGCTAGAGAAAAGGAAGGTATAGGTAATGGAAAGTTAGTACAATGTAGGTAAATCTGGAATATGTTAAAAAAAAAAAAAAGGAACTTTTGTTCTAAAACACTTGGATGAATAAAACTGTCAGGAGGGGGCAACATTAGATGCAGCCAACAAAGAAAATCTAGGAGGATGAAGAAAACAAAACAAAACAAATGGTTCCTGAAGAATGTGTTACATGGGTATACAAGTGTAAGAGAGGGAAAGACAGGAAAATACCTTCCCCACAGTGATGAAACAGCAAAATGAACAGATAAGATGCCGAACGTCTCAAGCCTTTCCATGACCTCCCATAGCATCCATTCTAACAATAAATTCTACTGCTAGAGCAGAAATGAGAAATCATGTCCAGAGGTTGATGGGGGCTCTTAAAACTAGATATGATGTGGATGGTCTGATGGGTTTGGATATGCACACAGCTAACTTCCATTAGACATGCAAGAGTATACGGATGACAATCCCCTTTAGACTATCCCAATCACACAATGACATACATTTAAACATGCTGGACTGGCTGAGCACTGAGGTCATAGAAAAACATGTGGCATCAAGTTCTGTATGCCTGGAATGAAGCCTCTGCTTTACTTCTATTTTTTTCCAGCTGGGAGTATAGGCAGACAGCTATAAGTCAAGAATTCTTCCCTCACTCCGCCCTATGCAGAGCTCTGTTCACAACACCAGTGTCAGTCCAAAGAGAAATAGCTAGCTTTATTGTCTAGCAGAACCCTTGTTGCCAGTTGTTTCTCCTTTGGATGCCCTCACTCAAACACCAGTCAGCAACAACTGCGTACTCTTTGCAAGAGCTTTAAAGTAAGGCAAAGGAAGAAAACACACGAGTAAAGTATTAAAAAGATTCTCCAGCTTTGTTTTGTTAATGGGGGAAAGGAGAGGAGACAGACCTGATGAAATGTACTTCCTCACCAAACGGAAAGAGCTACGGGAATTAAGCTCCAAATGCTCTTGGGGATAGTAACAACAGCAACCGTAACCAAATAAACATCATGGCTCACCAATGACAAAACCAACTAACATCTCTTCTGCTAAAATTTAACATTTTCAACCCACCTCAGACCTTCACAATATACAGCATGTGGAGTTCAGCCTTTCACCATGTCAGCACCATCCCCCTCTTCATCCTGAGTTGTAGTTATGGACAGTGTTTTATCTGCCTTGCTCCACAGGTTCCTTGTCCATCCCTCAAGTCCTTCTTACCACTCTATAAACCCCAGAACCCCCTTAAGCTACTGATGGGATGATTTGTAGACACATAATAATTGAGGACAATCAGACTGAGGGCTAGATGGACTCCAGACTTGGAACACTCATGTGGTGAGAATGAGATGAATCACTGGATGATGGTGAGGGGAAAAAAACACACACACATTCTTACCAGCTAACCTTCAGAGAGCAGTACTAACCCATCCTGTGGGGAGGGACTATCCCATCAGGCAGTGCAAGATATGGCAAAGTCCTGGCAGGCATCCTCCTGAAGAAGACACCAGAGATTATGCACTGTGGCAGGCTTTGGTTTGGGGAACAGAATGAGGGTTGGTGGGGAGGTGAGAAAAGACAGACATAGCACACAGCTGCTGTGTGAAAGCAGTTAGATGTACTCTGGCGTTGGTGAGACTAGCTTTAGTTACAGCAACTCCAAAATGTTACACTACAACAAACTTCAGTTAACAGGGCATAGATTCCCCTTCCTCCAATCTCCACTCTTCACTATAGGGAATATGTTCAGCATCTGCTTCTATGCCTGCTTCCAGTATCAGCACCCCGAATTGTTCAAACTCAGCTTCTTAGTATAGAAAATATTCAAACACTAGTTTTCTTAATTTAGCAAATAAGGAAATGCAAACACAAAACTGAAAGCAATTAGCTCTTTAAAAATATGTTTTATTACAAAAGCAAACAATAAAGGACTGATTTAGTCATTAGAAGAGTGTTTCCCCACATAAGTGGAACACTGCCTTCTTTCACCACCAAGTTATACAATAATGCCTTAGAGGGCAACACAAACTTTTCCTCAACAAGAACAGCTTTCCCCTTTCCTGACAAATCTATAAGGACTCCTAGAATTACCTTCTCCCCCTCTCCTTTGATTAAATTTCTGAAAGAATTAAGTTATAAACAATATTCTGAGAGCAAAACCACAGTATTCTGAGCACCTACCGTAGCTCCAGGATCCATTTGGGTTCCATTAGCCAACCTCTCACATATAAGTTGATTACAGGTAAGGCTATCCCTAGAAAAGCACCAACCCAGTTGAGGGCAATAAAAGTGGCTGCTCTGGCAACAAGAGCAGTTCAGCTGTTCAGAGACATGCAGAGTGACAGAATACTGCACTGTAGAGAAAGATATTCTCTCCATTGAGTCCAGGGATCTTACAGGGCAGAACTGGTGATGTAGCAGACTCAACATCTGGGTTTAAGCCTGTTATTATTAAAATACCCCAACCTTGGCACTTATCTAAGTGGCACGGAATAAAAATACCTCTCTCATGTATCAGTCAGCACACCATTGGAAAAGCCTTTGTAACAGTGTCCCAGAAAGAGAACAATGCCCTATAGTGATCAGAAAGTGGAGTCCTGAGATCAGCAATACTTCTGGGGATAGTGAGAGCTATATAGAGGCTTTCCTAGGTGTGACATCCATCAGAATATAATACAAATAAATAACATATTCCAGCAGCTACATTCAGCTGTTGGAAGCTGCTGTGGAAGTTTCTGCACCTCATCAGAACATCTGAGTATGGCTCTTGCCTAATGGCTCAGCTAATTTTAAGATCAGATTCAAACCTCAGAAAGGGAACACTGGTGGCATGAACTTCCCTTTCTTACAACTTTGTCAGACAAACCAACTAAAATATAAAACAGGCAAAGAAATGCCATAGCAGTTATTGGCTATGATCTTCTTCATGAGGTACTCCAACTTAGGATGGACATGCTGAAGACACAGCATTATTCTTTCTATTAACATCAAACATTTTAGGAAGGATGAAAAAATATACCTACAGATGAGCTATCTTACTTCAGGTCACTTGCCATGATTCAATTTAAAGGATCTGGGCAACTTACTGCTCAACTTAAGATACCTTTATAAATCTTCTTAACGAAGTCAGCCACATGCCTGGAGCAGTGGATGGTTTCCATTGCTGTGTATGATGGAGCTACTCAAAACATAGCCCACAACAGCATATGTGGAATAAACTGGCAGAAAGGTGGAAATGGTGGGGAAATTCCTGAGGTATGACCACACTGATTCCATTTTTTTTCATTCAAAAAAGGATGCTTCTCAATTCCTCTGCAGGGCAGGGTGGAGAAAGGTATCAAGAAATGTTTGATCTTGTTTTCTTGGAAATGTAAAATCCTACTCAATTTCTCATGAACCCCAGTTTTCAAAGGTCAACAGGGAGAATCTTATTGTTGCATAGCTGATTAACCCATCCAGGCAGCTTCTAGATGTTTTGGAGTACAAGAGATGAAATCTAACACCTTGGATGAGCAAGTTCTTCAGGCTCCCCATTTTCCTCTACTGGTTGGTAAAATCCATGGAATAACATATAACGTTATTTTAAAAAAAACCCTTCTGAGCACAGATTTACAGACAGCAAAAACACTTTTTAAGAAGACAAAATAAAGTCGCTAGAAAAAATTTTTAAAATTTGTGCAAAAATTCCCAGCAGCTTTAATAAACACATTTCAAGTATCTGTGTCTTTAGCTTTCCCCTATACGCAAGGGCTCTCTCA